CAGTTCATTTCGTATAGGTGCAATATAATAATACTCCGGGTTCAGTTTTAAAAACTGACAAAACTAGAACTGGAATTTGAACAGAAAAAATCTGCTCCTCGTATAGAGCGACCGCATCGTTTGATTTTCAGAATGTATTCAATCTTTTATTTGAAATCAACACCAAACAAGATTTAATTTTTTATATTTATTATAATCAATTGAGAATCGCAGATTTTTCATTACTAAAAACCTACTACAAAACAATCTGGTACATTTAATCTATTTAATGTTTACGAACAGATTTGTTAATTCTAACTTATTCATATTAAAAGAAGAATTAAAGGAAAATAGAAAGAAATAAGGAAAAAAGTCAAAGAGTTAAAGGAAAATGGATGCTAGTTTCATAATGTTTTTTCATTCCAAATTCCAGTTTTAGTTTTTGAAATCCGAAATAAATCTTCTCGAAAAGTTACTCTGAGTTTATGATATTAACTGATATTGATTCGCTGGCATTTGGTGCAGATGGTTATTTTTATTATTACATAAAATTTCATTAGCATCGCGTCAGATTTTAGTTTAGACGCTTTACATTATAGACGCAAAGAAGTAAATTAAGAATTAGACTAAATCTCATTTTCTTCTTTTTTATTTACTGTTAAACATTTAAATGTCATTTGTAGCTTGTATGTTACAAAGACTAATTAGCGACCTTAATTATGTAACAGAATTCTTTTGTGAACATAATGAAGTATAAGATGCTTTCGACGATTTTCATTAGTTTAAAAAATATTATTCACAGAAAATATATACAGATCTCTAAAGTATATCTTTAATGTTTTAAATAAACTAAGAGAAAGTTAAGTAAAATTATTTCGAAATCGCTACGTCAGAAATGCTTAAAAATATTTCTAGCTTAACTATTAGAAATGGAATGCTGGCAATAAATACATATCTTCTCAACATCGCTCTAAATAACGTAAATGAATTATTTACACAGCAAATATTAACCAAAAAACTGAAGGTTTTTTTTTTTGTTTTGTTTTGTTTTTTGTTTTGTTTTGTTTTTTGTTTTGTTTTGTTTTACTAGATCTTACAGTTTGAATTAAAGCTAAGGGTTATGTGTAGAAACTCTTTTATACTCAAATGACATTTTAGAAATTCAGTTGAATGAAATATATCTATCCGTTCACATATTGCATTTTTTCTTTTTAAAAATACAGTTATGTAAGTTTCATATCTTTAAGTCATTATCGGCCAAGGGAAAGCTAACGAATAAAATTTCACTCCTTCGAAGACGCACTTTGAGCTAATGTAACTGAATAAATGCACTTTCATTTTAATATTGGAAGGTGAAGTTATTCTAAGCCTTAAATATAATTTTAATTATAAATAAACTTTACCCACTTCTTCTTCTTACAGTTTTTTTTTATTTTATGTAGCTTGTATAAAAAGTTTTAGACCAGGCAGCATGACTACTTATACTAAGTACAATGTTTATGTAATTTTCGAAATGACTGCGTAGTAGCGTAATATAATTGTATCAAAATACCGCAAAAATTGATTTTTAACGCGTCTGAGCATATACATACGTGAATTTAAAGCTTACAGAAGCAGATGTTAATTCATTGTTAAAAAAGAAATAAACATCTGCACAAGCATTTCGGTGTAAAGAAAAAATGAAGAACGTAATTTAGAGTACCATATTAACAACAGGTTTTTATGTGAAACCCAGAAAATGACACAGTTGATAACATTAGAACCGTTTACAGCGTAATAAGGAAAACATCATGAAATGGTCAAGTGTGTTTGAGTGGTTTAAAGAGTTCAAAGAGGTGAGACAAGACCTAACGGATGACTTTTTTTAGAATCACAGAATAAAAAACAACAAAGGGCCATAATATTAAGAATCGAGATGAGATATGGTCCAACAAGTGATAGCTAAAGAGTTACAAATTAATCAAGAAACAATCAGAACAATTTTAACGAAATAGCTGGGTATGAGAAACATTTTTATAAAGTTTCTGTTCATAATCTGTCACACTCTCTGACCAAAAGAGCAATTACCGAATTAGATTCTTCAAGTTTATTCAGCTTATTTGTCGTATCCTTTTTTGAACTGGATCGACTTTTTAAGATATGAAAATGTAGTCTAAATGACATCTTTTAAGATATGAAAATGCAGTCTAAATCTGAGTCCACACGCATGCATAAACAATGCTTTGAAGACAATAGTTTCCACAGATATACAAATCAAAACATATGATTTATGAATTATTCATAATTTCAGATTTAAAACTTTCCAGATTTTCATAATTATTTTGTATATATATGTATACACACCCTGCTTACTTAATCATGGCGAATTTTGTTTCACTGTATGCTATTATCTTTTTTTACCGCTGAAATCTGATTACTGTTTACCAATTCATTGAGCCTTTATATAGATAGATTCAGTCCTAAAGTCATAATTAAAATAGTTTGTCCTAAACTTATAATAAAAATTGTAATACTTGCAACAATGGCTCATCATATATTCAGAAAGATAAAAATATGAAGATTAGGGAAAATCTAAATAATAATAAGCAAATAAGCTTGCGCCATCTGCGTAAAGCAGAACGGAAGGACAAGTTCCGTGAATATTTCATAGAATTCTACAAGTAGAGCAATACAAGGTCGTTTATAGAATTAAAACGCAAGCAAAACTATCTAATTACTCTGTTGACCCATATTTAACATATGATGCTTTGATTGAGATCTTCAAAAACGTAATTAAGGCTTCTTTTCTATTCTTATTCTCAGAACTGTTGATGACTTATCTTTTTTTTTTTTTTTTTTTTTTTTTTTTTTTTTTCCCGCGCTCTAGTACCACCAAACAGCGCCGTTTGTACATAACACTTCGTTATCATCGAAACTGTTCTGTGAATATATACAAGTTCTCTCCCCAATGGTAAACCGCACATACTGACCATTTATTCAAACTTTATTTCAGAAATTTATATTTCATTACATATTGCATATTTCAGAAATTTACGTTTCCTCCTTCGTGTTAAAAAAAAATTACGACACTTTATCATTCTATTCAACGTGAAATAGATTTATAATACTTTTTTAATATTAGTAATGTGATATGAATATTTTTACTTTATGAAGTTTATGATGAAATTTCTGCGACTGCTGGTTGGATCAGTTGCGCAATGTATTTGGATGTTTAGTAAAAGAACAAAAGAATATAATTTGTAAGACACGAAATGAGCACCAGCCTTTTGGGAATAATAATTTGTTGCGTAAGATAGACAAAAAGAAATGTTGAGAACAAATGCTTCGCAATTTCTTCTTTCTGTTTGAATTTTGTTACTATTTCACAATTCTCTCTTTCTTCCAGGAAATTCCTAATATTTCAAGGACTATACTAATTGACACTGAGAGAAACATACGGGTTACTAGCAAATATGGACTCACTGTGGACTTCTCACAGAACCAAAGCTTAAAAAAAGTGCGATTCTTTTGTGTGCTTTGATATATCTGATGTTTTTTTCCAGGAAAACGCTAAAATGTTGAACCATTGCGGTGGGAGATTTCACACTGCTGTCTCATATCACGCAGGAAGTAAAATAGCGCTTTTTATACTTTGCTACAAATATTCGTAGTTAGTCTTTGGATTAAATATAAAAGTATAATTGGTCATTCACAGCTACATTATCACATTTTCATATGTTCAAGCATTTATAGTTCATTCGCTGTGATGGCAGATGACTGCTAATATCTGCTTCCTTTCTGAGGCTCCGAAAGTCATGATAATCAGTAGTACTGATAATGGTAATTATTTTCATGAAACGTCAAAACTCCTAATTTTTATTAAAGCCACCATTATGTCTTAAAAGCTTCTCTTGTTTCAACTACACATTTCCTTTAGAAGTTCTGTCGGTGATATATTTCTACCACTTTTGACATAATTAGTGCATTGCTACATTGTGTACCAGTTTAGTTATATTAAAAGTTTTGACATCAGATCTATAATTATACCTGAAAGTAGCTTTAGCAATATAAAGCTTGGTTACATTTTTATTTATTAAAAATAAACACTTCACAGAGTTTCTGTTTCTAATGTATTTATATGCGCCTGCAAAGAAATAGCATTCATTTCGTTATGAATCTTACTGAAAATACAATTAAATACCATTATATTTCACTAACCCGTAAAGGAAGATAAGAACTCATCAAAAGCATTGCTATGGTGGCAGACAAATATTAGAAACATGACTGATGAACGTTTAAAAAATCAGTGCTGAGCAACTCTTCTGGCAAATTTTCAGTTTTCGAATAAAACTTTAAAACACTAACTTTTAAATTTTGGCTTTCCATTTTAGAGTAACATTCTCAATTTCTTTCAGTATCAGTTGCTTTTCCCTGCTTATTCCTGGTACATACTGAAGATATGCATCTAAATCTAGTATTCACTGTACATGCCGCCCCCAAGATATTTCTATCTAGATTAGATTTATATAATGAACGTGATAAAACGTGAAGTCCGAACGAATACAATGGTAAAATTTGGTTATTCCTCTAATAGATTTAAAAAGCCTTAGTATCTGTTTGTTACTCAGTTTTAATATAAGTAAATTAAATTAAATCAACACTGAAAATAACTCCAGCATAAAAAATGCTATAGATTTATGCAAGCAAATATAATAAACTACTTATAATTATTTTACACACGGAAAAAGAAGGTAGGAATGTCCATAAAATTTACGTTTTCTAATTATGCGTTTTAACAATTTTGTTCTCCCAAAAAGCAGTTAAAAGAATTTCATGCTTCACATGATCACTCGCAGACTCTTTTATGACTGTAGACATATTGCTTACGCTTTAATAAAATTATAGTATTTTTGTTAATAAAGAATAATTTTAGAATGATAGCAGAACAAACGTTTTAATAATTCATTTTAAACATCTGTTTTAAAATTATTTGTTCATGTATTATTTACTATCTGTTTTTAGTTAGTTTATAAATATACATGACACATATGAAAATTGTTTATTTCAAAATAAATATATTCAATTAACTTTATAACGATTGATAAAAGTATATGAACATATGTTTCGCAGAACAGCACACTGTAGCTGTTTTACACATTTTTAAAATGTTGATGAGTTGATTGCCCTTGCAGCTAAGTTTTCTTAAAGAAATAAAATAGCAAATAATTAATTAACCATTCAAATTTTAAACTAATGAGATATTACAACTCTGCCTAATGATTTGCTCATACTAATAAGTAAAAATATATTATTTTAAAATAAAATACTTCCACAGTTAAAAGAGAACTGCCGAATAAGATCAAACAAAATTCTATATATTCTTCACCACGTTGTGTTTTGGCCTACACTCCAACGAAATTCAGCATATATACGTACTTTGCTATGAAATTAATTTGTACATCTTTATTACAGTTTTATTATGAAGATTTCCCATTCTTTTGCCCACCAGACAACTGTCTGTGATTAGGTTGTATAATCTGACATATGAGTATATCTAGCAGCTGAGTGGGTAACAAGGACATGAACCATAGTCGGATTTTGTCCGCAGGTCCAGAGCACCGATAACTAATTTTCGGCCACACGCTAACTACGGCTACCTCCATGCAGTCGACTACTTCGTCCAGATACGGTCGGGCATGCAAAGCCATCTTTTGCATGCGAACCTTAAAATCTTGATAGTAAGGAAATCCATAAGCTTCTTTTATGGCTTCTGGTGTTTTTTCCCAAGAGTTATCCAAAGCACCCGTAAGAACATCAGATTGTGAAATTTTCGTTCTGTCATTAAAAAAAAGTGTTATTTAGGAAAATTGAAAATTATTACATATTTAAAATACATAAATAGTAAATATAAATTTAAGTTTTGTATCTTAATCTTCTATCATTAAAAATGGTAATTAAGCAAAATAAATAGAACTTTTAAGTTCTGTATACTAAAATAAATCGATAACAAGAGCACTATATCGCAGATGCAAATATGTTAACTCTGTTATATTGTGATATTTTCTTGGAATGTACACTTTATTTTCCATTTTCGTAGAATTTCCATTACGTTCTCATTCGTATCGAAGTATTTTAGCTATAGAATTAGCTCTGTGTTTAAAACGTTTTCAAAAATGCTTCGTTCATAGCATGAAAGACGTGGTAGTAGAATTTAATAAACCTGCACAGAACTGCGATTTTAAATTTAACAATCTAAAAGGATGCATAATAAAATATTAAGCATGCGATTTTTAACAATATTATTATGTAATGAGTTCACTAAATTTTGAAAATCAGTTTTTCAATCCTGTGAATCTAAGGCTATCTTCGGGTTAAATTAATTGATTTGGATCTCGAATGTTTAGTCTTTAGCTACCTTTCGAGATGAAATTGAATCAAATCAAATTAAACAAAGATATGAAAGAAAGGTTGTGATCTGGTTACAATAAACGGATCTGGTTAATAAGCAAAGAAATCTTTTTGCTGAATTTCATGAACTACTTTTAATGTTAAGGTTTTTTTCCCTCTTTTGGGTAACCTATCAGCCTGCCTTTATAAATTTCAAAATAAAAACTATTGAAATCGGAAGAAGTTTAAATAACCTTGCACAGTTAAAAATCAACTAATTATAACAATTGTAGTTAAAAACAAAGTTAAGTTTAACGGTAATAACCAACAATACGTTAGCTAAAGTGTAGACTGAATCTCAAGTGTACGTTTCTTATTATATTTCGTGTACTGTCTTACGTTTCTTACATCTTGAGATTTCTTTTTAAATTCCTACTATTAGCTCCCACTCTCTCTATATCTTGTTCAAGTTTTCAGTCGTTAATAAAATACTTTTTATTCATCCACTCAAGTTCAAATACACTTTTTTAAACTTGTAGTGGATGACACTTCATGTTAATACAGGTTTTTCACATATTATTTTCCTACTTATTTATTCCTGTTTATCGGAACTATTCTGTTTTTATATACATTATAAGACTTACAAATAATGACTGTTTATTAGAAATTATCACGGGCTTGAAAAATTAATTTTATAACAACGTATAAATAATAGTACATGACTGTGATAAATGGGATTGTAATATTTAACAAAAATAAGTGGCAACAGTAAGACAGAGTTCTAAAGATTTTTAAAGAAAGTGTATGGAATTAAAGAATAGTAGTTTTATAGAGTTGGATGAAGCGGATGTAATGTCCCATTACTTCGAAAAGTAAGTTGCGAAGCACTGTAGATTATGCACTAAGCACTATAGCCACTGTAGCACAGTAGATTGTGCAGTAATATATCTAGGACGATTTATATTCATCAAAGGCATTGATATGGGGACAAACAAACATTAGAAACATAACTGATGAACGTTTAAAAAATCAGTGTTGAGCAACTGTCCTCGAAAATTTTCGGTTTTCGAATAAAACTTTAAAAATAAACTCTTCGCAGCAGGTCAAACATATGTCGCCTTGAGTCTTGTGAAATCATTAGATGGAATATTAATTGAAGAACTGAACTGCTCGCAACTCACTGGAAAGGTTCCTTGCAATAATGAAGCATTTTAAGAGATGGATAGAATGTGAAATTATAGACCAATCAGCTTCATAAATTAGAAATGAAAAATGTTAATAATGTTAATAAAAAGTAACTAAAATAAAAATTTTCTTTTTTGACCTAATTAGGAATTGACTTTAAAATGTCTTTTATTTTACTTGTTACTTTTACTTTAAGTGCTGTCCTATCTTCCCTCTCATTCGCGGCACATATTCGCTGAGACCAGAAGATTATAAAAATTAAATCGCGTGCAAAATAGTTTAATAGCTAGCGAATGTTAACTGCAATTTCATGCCTCGTAAAATAGCATCCTTTCCTTTGTTCCTAAGAATTAGTGCCGATTTGTTTGGAAAGAATTAATATTGATAGAAGGCTGCATCGATTTCCATTGCCTTCTAAGGTGGTTGGTATGTGCCCCCCCCCCCCTTCTACAGCCGGGGATAAAAATTAGGTGTCTTCTTTCAGAAGATTTGATTTTGATAGTTATAACTTTCAAGACTTAGTGGCCTTAAGCATTAACAGTCAGTATCTTGCAAACTCGGATATTCAGTTGTTCCAGTTCCTGATATTCAGCTTCAAAAACAGCGTAGCTTTTCTAGTTATTTGATTATTATCCCACACAGGGCCTAGCAAGCAGAATAGTTAAACTCCCAGGGAGAAATCTGCACAGAAGAAAAGAAAGTCATTATCGATAAGTAATCGAACCTTTTTCTAACTACTCACATGTGAACTAATAAAGTTTATTGAATTTTAAATATGTTTTTGTGTAAGTTGATTGTAGTCAAGGCAATAAATCGCTCATAGTTAGGAAATAACTCTAAGTGAAATACCGTTAGGTGGACAGGGTATAAGCACAGAATTACATACTGAGTACAGTGTAGTAATTTTCATTTCTATATCACCGTATGCAATTTTAAAACATATACCCCTGGAATTATTAAAATGAAATAAAAATAATCATTGTCGAAATTCGCCTTCCTAGGATTTTAAATTCTTATTTTCTTGAATAAAATAATTGCTCTAAACTACCGTAATGAATGTTTCGTGATGCTAAATATTCTTATTTATCATTCCAAATATTTGTAAATAGCGATTGACAGCTTTAAAATGACACAGTGCATATTCTTATGTATAGAATGATGTGAAATGCAGATTTTTATGAACAGAAGAAAATCTAAAATCTGCTTGGCTATAATCTTAACAAACAATTCAAATAAATTCACACTTACTTATACATAGATGGCTCAATAGAAACTACACTAACGCCCCACTTTAACATTTCTCTACGCAAGCCATCAGCGAATGAAACTAAGGCATGCTTAGTCATAGAATATGATAAGAAACCTGGATACGTCAAATGACCTGCAAAAAATAACTAGATTTTAAACAGATTACTAGATCAAAAAGAAATATGCAGGGTACTTAATACAAATAGTTGCGTGCATTACTTCTTTAAATATTGGTATTTTCAATTACGATGTTTCTCAAAATAATACCCAGTAGTATTTTATGAAATCAATTTCGGTATTGAGAGTTGATTACTAACTTTGATGAGCAGGCATAAAGTTTACGTTTTTATAAGAATTATGTGCAGCAAAATGCTTATATTTTTATAAGAATTATGTGCAGCAAAATGCCCAAATAATAAAATTATAATTTAATAAATTAAATGGAAAATGTGCTACATATTTAAGTGCAGGATTCGACATTATCGGTTCTGAACAGATTGAAATAGTGTCCTTATTAACTGAATGAATTTTTTTTAAGTAATTCAAAGTTGTATGAAGTTATCTAATAAAGTTAATAATGAGAGTGTTACTTTACTCAACGATTATTCATTAACTGTCCAAATGAATATTTTTAATTTTTTGGCTTTACTGTTGCTGCCTAAATCTGGTCAAAGCCTCATCGAAATAACTTAGACATTAAAATGATGAAGTCAACAGACTCACTCTTGAAAATATCTATAAATTTTGAAAGTAAAGTTACGGGATGTTTTGTATTTAATGAAACATGCTGAACATTTTCTTGGCAGAGCTTTCGGCTCGCCAAATAAAAGGTTGTACTTTGTAATTACAGACACCTCCTACATTTAATACTTTAACAATTCTCCAATGTAAGCATAAAAACTGAATATGAGGATTTCTGGATTTTTCATTAAAATATACGCAACAATTGTATTAAACACGCCAAAGAATTACGTAAATAAATGTTCACGACGGAGTTCAATAAAGACTGCCTGGAACAGATCATTTACTTGAAATTAAAGTCCTCTTATTGCACTCAGCATTAAATATGCAATGGAATAATTTCAATTCTATTTGTTTAAAATTCATTCATAATTTTCTTTCATATCCATATAAAATTAAACTTCACAGAAATTTATAAAACATTCTCAATTGATCTGTCAGCTTTACAAAGAAATCTGCTTGAACATAACTTCAAATTTTATAACTTAAGTAGCGAATTTATGACAACTTTTGCCTAATTTAATATATTCGTCTTTCAGCTTTAAAATTACATAACCCATAAAATGCAAAATTTTATTAGCAAATTAATACCTGCAACGCTAGCGACAATAACTACCCTTCCCTTTGAGCGTCTGAGAAGCGGCAAGAAAGCTTTAGTTACACGAACAGCTCCTAGCACGTTCACATCGAACATATGCTCAATAACGGACATACTGCACCATTCTAGCTCTGAGAAAATTGCTACGCCAGCATTGTTGACTACACACCACAGATCTGAAAAAAAAAAGAAAAATTGGGGCAATACATTTTTAATTAAATTATAACTGTGTTATTAAATTAAGGTGCTAGAACTAAATTATAATAGACAATAATATTTTCTAATCACTACCAAATTAAATTAAGCAATAAATAAATTAAGTGAAAGATTTGGCATTAAATAACAGAATCTACTAGCTTAACTGTTCCTGCCAATAAGCAATATTTATGTAATTACAAAAATAAGACCCATCTATCATTCTGTGAATATAATCTGTTGGTCTGTGCAGATGACAGATTCTCAGTTTTCCCAAAGAGGTCCATCTCATCAAAAAACTGATCTTAAAATCAAGAAGAAAGTCCAAGAGGAAATTCAATTACACTCTTAGACGAAAAACGAACGACGCACCGAGAAGATATAAAGCAAATTGGACACAAATTGATTTGCATGCAGTTTTCGACGGAAAATGTAAAATTTTACATTTTGGCTGCCAATGAATGAACGATTGTCGCTACAGCGCATCTGATGTGCGCAACTGGCAGGATATTTAAGAGGAGAAATTACGATTCAAGGTCATAATTTCTTCGCGAATTTCATTCCGTGTACTCTGGTAGACAGTAGCTATGCTTCGCATACAGGTGCACGAACGATATGCGCAGATGTCAAAATTTGTCATAAAAACTGAATATGAGGATGTCAAACAAAGAAGCCGGTTGGTCTTATCGGAGAATAGCTCGACATTTGAGCAGGAGCGATGCCACTATTAGACGATGTTGGCACGAATGGGTGAACCATGGCCGCACACAGCGTCAAGAAGGAAGCGGTAGGCCTAGAGAAACAACAGAACGTGAAGACCGAGCAATCGTCAGAACGGCACTAACAGCGCCAGATGCATCATTATCATCGATTGTACGTGCAACTAGTGCTTCAATGACCACAAGGACCATTCATAGACGGCTCACAGAAAGGGAGCCGAGGTCACGGCGCCCCTTGCGCCGACTACCATTGGCCTCTGTACAACATCAAGCCCGTTTGCAGTGGTGTCGGCTCATTCGCACTGGAATGTCACTGACTGGAGTAGAATAGTCTTCAGTGATGAGTCCCGCTTTGGACTGAGCCCAAATGACCAGCGAAGGCGAGTCTGGAGACGCCCCGGGCAGCGGTGTGATACCAACCTATCTTCTGGCAGACGGGCCGACAACCAGGAGTGATGGTCTGGAGTAACATTTCATTTCATAGTAGAATCTCTTTGGTTGTCATCCGTCGCAACCTTACAGCACAGCGGTACGTCGACGAAGTTCTAAGGCTCGTTGTGTTGTCCTTCATTGTCCCGCCACCCTGGGGTTACATTTCGGCAAGATAATGCCCGCCCCCACACTTCACATGTTTCTACTGCTTGCCTAGTGCTTGCCGAACATTACCTTGGCTAGCAAGGTCGCCGGATCTCTCTCCTATTGAGCACGTTCGGAGCATTATGGGCAGGGCCCTCCAACCAGCTCGGGATGTTGACGATCTAACGCGCCAGTTGGTCAGAATTTGGCACGATATCCCTCAGAAGGACATCCGCAACCTCTGTCAATCGATGCCAAGCCGAATAACTGCTTACATAAGGGCCAGAGGTGGATACGCGTTACTGACTTTTTCACTTTGTGAAGCTCTGTCACTTCAATAAATCATCCAATTTTTCTCAAACTGTAATCATTTGTTTTCCTGTACATGTACATCACTTCTACCGATTTTCGTCCCATTCGGATAACTCCTTCTTGGTGCGTCGTTTCTTTTGTCTAAGAGTGTATGATGCAGCAAAGAAGCACCCCCCTCCTCTGCCTATGAGTGACTTTAAATTCAAAACTGAATATTGCATCATGAAAAACCCACTGAAATGATATTGATATCGATGAAATGTTGTATGTCGTGTACCTTAGTCTGAAGAACACTATGATTGTTGTTGCTTCTCTCTGTAGTCTGAGGCTAAGGTAGACATAAACTAAGCCGTCACATTATCAATTCAAATCTAGATTTTTTCCCTGTAACTTAAATTTTAGGCGTCCAGAAAAACCATACATAGCATACGCCGAAGGACATATGCTTCATTGCAATGAGTTTCTCAATTAACGCGTCCTTGAGTTACCTTCTCAAAAGTAACGATTCTTTAAAGCAGCTAATTAATTATGACCCATGCTAACTCAGTCGAGGCTACAGGAAAAATAAATTATTCATTAATTCATGTGCTTACTTAAGAAAAATTAACTGAAGTACTGCAAAATTAAATCAACGCATATTTGGTAAAAGGGTATAAATTTTATGTTCAGCTTTTTGATAAAGAAATAATGCAGTTCATGATAAGAACGCAAGGAGCAAACACAAAAACGCTAAGAAATAGAAATTTTGGTTTATTGATTTATTTTTTATTCGGTTTATTATAATATCGGATATCAGAAATTGTAATATCGGATCTATCGTGTCTAATTATATTTTATTGCTACATTATATTTCGGTTCACAACTTTCTTTTAACTAATTAACTCGCAAGCATTCTTGATTTCAGTCATGAATATTTTTTACTGAAGAGGAATGTCTTGAACGTGTATTTGAAGTATTTAGATTTACTAAATGAGTTTGTAAAGAATTATCATGTTTCTCCATGTGTGCTGTCGTGGTTTAAATGGTAAACACATTCAGCTAGCAAATTGGAAGATCCCACATACACAGCCTTCCTAATGTGAAACATGTGGTAATATATTCAAAATAAAGCAAAATTATGTTTTGATTGATTAATTTTTCTTAAGGAAGTATTCAACTGATTTATGTATTCATGCAAACAAGGTATTCGAAAGCAAAACGTTTCACAAAGTTCACAAACAAATAATATTTATTATGGTATTGGATATGTCACCCCTTAAATTTGACTGAAGTTTTACAACAGCATTTCATCTTTTTAATCAGGTGGTCTAGTGTAGAAGGTAATATACGTTACTTCTAACTAAGGGCAGCTTGTAATGCTGAGAGAATAGTTAGAAGAAGCTGGAGAGCAAAGACAGCTTCCAAAGATTTTCTGTAATTATCCCAAAATTATTCTAAAATTTTCTGTTGAAATGTGATGCCTTGAAGACGCCAACCGCTGCATATAAAACCACTAGAAAAATTCGCGTCAAAGAATAAAGCTATCAGCCGTACTATGTGCACATTGTTAGACGACGCGTAGAGGAGAAGGAGAAACTTTCTGAAAAGCTAGCTTCAAGAACTTTCGCGTAACTCAGAAAATCAAATAACTCGAAAACCAAATTTTGGAGAAATGATTTTTTCGGCGAGCTGTTGAGGATAGTTTGTAGATGTGATACTGGTTTTAAATGTACATTTCCTGCCTCTAAAACAAATATTGATTCATCCATGAAGAGTAAATCTAACTATTGCCCTTCTGTTTACTGTGCATACCAATGTCATCATTTTAATCGTATTTCGATGGCTTTAGCTCTGAAAGAAGCATGTGCTAATGGTTCCTGGGCAGGAATTCTTTCCCCTCACCATACTGGCAGATAACGACCTTCCTAATCATTGGTACTGTTGTTCGGCACCGTACCAATCTGTGGTAATCATTGCTCGAGATTAAGTACGGTTGTTCGGCGATTACATTAGGCAGTAATGCGTATTTTGGTCACTAGAGGATGCTGCCTTGTGAAAACTTAGCTGGAATCTCTACATAAAAGTATTATTTGTTTAGAATCGTTTCCTCAAATGAGAATTGATAGAAAAGAAATTGAAAGTTTTCTTAATGGGCTCTCTCTCCTTCCAGGCTTCAACGGCACGGCAGTGTTTATAATCTACTTTACGTATTCTATGTGTAATAACCAATCTTTATAGAGTCATTAGGCGTTTTTGAAGTAAAACGCTTAAAAAATGTGCAATGCCCTAGCCGCAATTCAAAGAGCGATCTCTCAACTGTCCACCGGATACGCTTCCAATTACCCCTCAAAGGAAAGCGAGAAGGAGAGAGAAAATACCTTACACACTCGCCCTTTTAAAAAGCAACTGGGAAGGAAGAAAAACAATCGCTAAATCGTCGGGGTGATAAATTAGTGTCCACCACCATTTTTAGTTCGGGCGCCAATTGTAGAGTCTATTGGGTATATTTTTGAGAGTCAGATATGAAAAATGTGCAGTGCTCTCCCCAGGATACGACTTCCACACCTTCATACTGTAAAGCCTGACGTGTTTCCCAATTATACCAGGAAGGCACGTGGTAAGAAGGGATAATAACCTTGCATCTTAACAAAAACCAATGCAAGCATTTTTCAAAAATTTATTTCAGCTTTGAATTTTCCAGATAAAATAAATGTATTTTTCACCACCATGATTAATTCAGACGTTTTTCATTCAACAAGAAGCTTTCTTAACATTAATTTAATATTTGAATATCCCAAACAGTTTAGTACGATAAATAATTTGCAAACATTACTGCAAGTCTTTACGTTCTGGAAAGCAAGGTGGTTAGCCAAAATTTTATATGAAAATTTTAAACCCGTTTATAGCAATGTACAACAGCGTTATAATGACATGCAAGTATGTAAAGTTTCTATTGAGCTAAAATTGCTTAGTTCTTTAAGCAAACCTTTATCTCCTAGCTCTTCTTCTACTTTACGAACAAGAGAATGCACCTGGTCGTATTGAGTAACGTCCAAAGGTAAAACCTTCACAGACATCTGCTCTAGCTCCTTCGCCCCATCACTATCTAACGATAAACAACAAGCATAAACAGTAAATCCAGCAGCATGCAGACGCTTAGCGAGATCCAATCCAAACCCTGTATCACAACCTGCAAAAAAAGAATTTAAATTAAATACATCTTATATATTTATTAACAGTGAGTTATCTAGAAGTCAAAATGAATGCCGTGTTATAATTACAATGCATAAAATTCGGTTATAAAAAGGGTTCATGGCCTTTTCCATTTTCTGTATATTGAAGCAAATATAGGAAAAAGGCTTTACTATCAAGCAAATAAACTACATCAAATTTAGCCAATTCATATACTTTCGAAAGCCAATTTATGTTCTGTGTTGGGGACGCAGACAGGGTTCTATGTTAAATAAACATTTAGGAATATTTCCTAAAATAATAAATACAGGTTATTTCAAGATTCTTATGGACAGTCTTAATGGTTAGAAGTATGAAAGTGTCCGGAAATTTGAATTAAAATAATAATTCTGTTAATTTAGACGCAGGCTATCACTTGGCTATCACTGAATTAATAATCATCATTCTTAAATAACTAACTAGGACTGTCAAAATCGTAAAAAACAACCTTATATTTAGCGTAGGTATAATGAAACACTCAATCGATTTCGAGGGCAGCTAAAGGTCCCTCCTCATCAGGAGAAAGACATACATAGAAAGAAGAAAATAGGAATCACAGAAACACGTGGTGCTTATCAGCACTGCACGTGGTTATAACTAGATTTTTAATCAGAGTTGCACTGGCCGCCTACTTTTATTGAGCCAGGCTGTCTGATCAAGCATAAAGAAATATTAGCGAAGTTAAAATAGGGAGCGAGGAGCAAATGCACATTACGCTCAAAATCTGAACTTCAAATAATGGAAAGCAACCACTGAACGGATTTTTATACCCTCTAATAGTACCAAGTGCGAGGAGGTAACGCCATCTATCGGCAAAAATAATTGAATTAAGAAAGTAGAATTTTCAAAGGCATTAGGAAGGACTGGATTGGACTTCAAATCATTAACTAAACTTTCTAAATCTTTGTGAATGTGAAAAGCCTCAAGAAAATCCAATTCGCCTATCGAAGAAGCCTTCTGGATGATTTTTGCAGACCCAAAATCAAAATTATGGTTAAAAGTCCAGCTATGATACGTTATTGAAGACTTGTTAATTTCCCCTTTTTTGACATAAGATTCATGTTCCTTGATACGAAACTTCAACGCTCTTTTTGTTTGGCCAATATATCTTAAACCACACTGACATGATATACTATAAATTCCCCCAAGAATTCAAGACAGAAACGCAATCTTTTAGAATCGAAGGGTGAATTTTATTAATAGGGGAGAAACCGACTTGAAAATTGAATTTCTGGAGAATCCGTGCAATTTTATAGCTAACAGAAGGATAAAATGGAAGCACGACAAGGTCATTGATATTATTTCTAACAGTGGAATGTCTTCTTGATGGGAAATCTGAAAATTTTCTGAACTTTTTGATCAATAATCACGGGAGAAAATCCACGGTCAATCGCAACTGCTCTCAAATAATTAAGTTCATTGGTAAGCAAAGATTCAGAGGAACAAACTTTTAGCGCGCGGAAACATAATAGTAAAAAGAAGCAATTTTTTGCTTAACAGGGTGGCATGACTTGGCATGGGTGGTAAACAAACTGCAAAGGGTTTACGGTACACAGTGGTGCTAAAATGGTACACAGTGGTGCTTACAGTACACAGTGGTGTACCGTAAACCCTTTGCAGTTTGTTTACCACCCCATGCCAAGTCATGCCACCCTGTTAAGCAGAAAATGGCTTCTTTTTACTATTATGTTTTCCGCGCGCTAAAAGTTTGTTCCTCTGAATCTTTGCTTACCAATGACTTAATTATTTGAGAGCAGTTGCGATTGACCGTGGATTTTCTCCCGTGATTATTGATAAAGCCGTCAAAAAATTTTCAGATTCCCATCAAAGAAGACATTCCACTGTTAGAAATAATATCAATGACCTTGTCGTGCTTCCATTTCATCCTTCTGTTAGCTATAAAATTGCACGGATTCTCCAGAAATTCAATTTTCAAGTCGGTTTCTCCCCTATTAATAAAATTCACCCTTCGATTCTAAAAGATTGCGTTTCTGTCTTGAATTCTTGGGGAATTTATAGTATATCATGTCAGTGTAGTTTAAAATATATTGGCCAAACAAAAAGAGCGTTGAAGTTTCGTATCAAGGAACATGAATCTTATGTCAAAAAAGGGGAAATTAACAAGTCTTCAATAGCGTATCATAGCTGGACTTTTAACCATAATTTTGATTTTGGGTCTGCAAAAATCATCCAAAAGGCTTCTTCCATAGGCGAATTGGATTTTCTTGAGGCTTTTCACATTCACAAAGATTTAGAAAGTTGAGTTTAGTTAATGATTTGAAGTCCAATCCAGTCCTTCCTAATGCCTTTAAAATTCTACTTCTTAATTCAATTATTTTTGCCGATAGATGGCGTTACCTCCTCGCACTTGGTACTATTAGAGGGTATAAAAATCCGTTCAGTGGTTGCTTTCCATTATTTGAAGTTCAGATTTTGAGCGTAATGTGCATTTGCCCCTCGCTCCCTATTTTAACTTCGCTAATATTTCTTTATGCTTCATCAGACAGCCTGGCTCAGTAAAAGTAGGCGGCCAGTGCAACTCTGATTAAAAATCTAGTTATAACCACGTGCAGTGATGATAAGCACCACGTGTTTCTGTGATTCCTATTTTCTTCTTTCTATGTATGTCTTTCTCCTGATGAGGAGGGACCTTTAGCTGCCCTCGAAATCGATTGAGTGTTTCATTATACCTACGCTAAATATAAGGTTGTTTTTTACGATTTTGATTGTCACATTAGCGTGTTTCTCTTCTAGTCTAACTAGGACTGCCTTGAACCACAAAACTGTGACAGCAGGGTGATGTTAATAACCTTAACATTTGATACTGAAATTTTCTTCTTAATATTTTCATATAAGTGCAAAGCTTTGTATAATTCGCATATTTTTTCAGTCATTCTGGCTGATTATATGACCAGTTCCTGAAGCTTTGCTGACAAGATTCATGAAATATCGAAGTCAAACAAATTTTTCCCTTTCGTTTTCAATACCTAGGAAGAAAGATTAGAACTAGAAGACTTTTCGTCTGATAGGCATGTTGTATACCGCACCGATGAAAAGAGAAATTAATAAGGAAAGATTTCACATCGTAAGAAACTAACAATGCAAATGATATATGGATGTGTGCGTAAATCAGTTATAACACTGTTAAGTTTTAACTAAATATACAAGTATAGTTCAAATACACACAAATAAAGTTTAACGGTTCAGGAGGTCATCATTATCTGCTATAAATTTTGCAATTGCAAATCCTTAAATAAATTAAACTAATTAACGAAAATCAGATACAGTTCCCTACTTATCAAAACTTTTAAAGCTAAAATTTGAAGAATAAATATAGATAATTGGAAAAAGATTTTTTTAAATTCTATTGCAGAAATTCAACAAACTGCAAACATTTTGCTTTACGCTGTATCTTTTATTTTTGAAAACAATTATAAAATAGTTTTTAAAGTAAATGCTATTAAATTGTTACATAATGCATTTCAAGTATTCAACTGATTTATGTATTCATTAATTAATTAAGTTAATTCCGTATAATTAATAATTAAGTTAATTCCGCATTTATTAAACTTGTGCTTTAACAGCCATTCTTAGAGGCAATTTAATTTTAAAAAGTTGTTCTTACTCTTGCCATATGATAGATGACAGAATTTAAACATATTTTCCTTTCATCATTTGCAATTGTAGGTACATACCTAATTAATTCATGTAAACTTTCTAACAACTGCAATGAAAAGCAAAGAAATGTAATTAAAATGTTGGCGTAACAGGTCATAATTTATGTAGCATGTTCATTATCAGTTTCAGTAACAAAAGCTGCTTTATTCTTTCTGATGATTAATAACTATGGCAAAAGGAAGAAAAAAGATCCCTCTGCAAGAAAAGAGGCAGAACTTGGTTATTTATGGGATCATTAATGTTCACAGGAAGGAACCGGACTACGCTAAATATCTTCAGTAATCACAAACGGTAGCTACCTCTTTTTAAACGAGTACAAAAGCAGAGCTGTTATGTTGGAACTTGATTATGTATTAAAACAACAACAAAAATTATTTCCGATTTGACAAAAATAATTTACATTTACAATAGTATCCTTAAGACTATGTACTTATAAAGTTTTTTCGACATAACTAGTGCCTTTATGGTCAATCACTGGTTGAGCAAACGTTTGGTTTTATACGGTCCGCCCATATAAAACCAAAGGTGAAACGTAGGAAATGAGAAAGGTAGCAAATTATTTTCTAAACAAAGGGCGTAAGAGCTCTCCAGTTAGTTGAACAACCGTATGCCGACAGTGAAAGAAAATACGAACGTATTATTGATCATAGACAAAAAATAACTAGACTAGTTTCATAAGGAAGAATGGATCTCAGATTCAGCGCGGTAGATGTCGAATAGCAAGTTAAAAATGAGAATTTCTGTCTTAGTGTCAAGCTCTTGATTTTTTTTTCCCCCAAATTTTGAGGGTGTTCTGAATACGCTCTATGCTCGTCATAATTGATAAACGGAACTCAGTTTCGACCTCGTTTGAGGAATTCATCTTTTTGGGATAATTTCTCTTTTTACACTTTAAAAAGTCTTGGAATGTCATGCCCACATTTAGAAAACGGAACATCCCTATTGGTGCAGCACAGCTCTGCTATCCAATTGGAGGAATAGAGACGTTAGAGACTGTAGTTTTATTTCAGAATTGTCCAGAACTTTTTCAAGTTCTGAGGTGAACACAGGATGTGAAACTTCTTTAATACAGAACTCTCACGTCCGCAGAAAATAATTGTTGAAATGACTCTTCTAATCAAGCTTCCACTTCTGACCATTATGGTCGGGATCGAGGAAAGCACCTCTTTGGTTAGAGAGACACAAATTACCTTAAATATAAATTCTCTAAATAAGTGGATCAGGGAAGCACACAAAAATTTCAGTCACAAAAACAGCTGAATAAATTACAAATCAAATAAT